GGGGGGGGGGGGGGGGGGGGGCGGGCCGGAGCGACCCCCCCCGCCAGCAACGCCGCAGCGGGCTGAGTCGGGAAGATCTGCCGCTTTCAGCAGCAGCAGCAGTAGCCGCACCATGGACCGCCCCGCCGTCCTCCAACTGCACTGCAGCGCCGTCCGCCTGAGCCGCCCCTCCGGACGCGATTTCCCCGCCGCACGGGCGCTATGAGGAGAACTCCAGCGGCACTTGGCCCCCGCGTCGACGAGAAAGAGACGGAGTGACGAGGCAGGTAGGCAGGAAGGAAGGAAGGAAGGAGCCCGCTCCTCAGGCCGCCCCTCCCCCGCGCCCTTCCTGCCCCCACCGCTTCTCCTCACACGGCCCCGGCGGTTTGGCCGCCGCTCTGTCAGATTCTTTTCTCCAGCGGACGCGCCATCCTTCGCGTCATATTCCTCCGCCGGGGAAATAGTCCGTCCCTTCACCGTGTCTCCCCAGCGCCCCCACCCCGAGGAAAAAAAGAACCTCTCCTGGCCGTCGCCTTCTCACGTGACTGACTCGCTAGGAAGGAAGGAAGGAAGGCCAGCGAGCGAGGAAGAAAGGCGTAGCATCAGAAAGCCGAGCGGTGCTGCTCCTCTTTCCTGCCCCTCGCATCAGAAAGGGGCGGGGAGTGACTGGATTGTAGGGCTGGGCGGAGGCGGCCGCGAGCCCAGGCGCTGCTGCTGCTGCTGCTGCTGCTGCTCATAGGAATGAAGAGGATGGTGGCCTGCTTACGATAAGGCGAAGTGGAAAAGGGGCTGGGAAAAGACTAAAGGGGGGGCGCCCTCCTTTAAGGGTGGGGGGCTGATCTTTACACTCTGCTTTTCTTCTCTTCGCTGAGAGGACGAAACGGAGCAGAGAAAAGGAAGAGAAACCAGAGGAGGAGAAAGTCGATCCGGTAGGGGGGAAAAGCTAACAGCTAACAACCATGTCAGGGCGCCCGAGAACCACCTCCTTTGCAGAAAGCTGCAAACCGGTGCAGCAGCCTTCAGCCTTTGGCAGCATGAAAGTTAGCAGTGAGTATTGATTTCCATCCCCAGTCCCTTTTACATCCGATCTCCCACAAGGAAGCGTGTGGTTTTTATATTTTAAAAATATTTTATTTTATTTTTTTGGTCCTTGTACATTAAGAATTGTCAGATCCGTAATGTCCTCTCGGCAGCTTTCTCCACCCATATCTTGATCAGGCCTATCCTATGGCTTCCAACTAGGAGGAAAAAAATCAGACGTTTTTTGTCTTCAAGTGTAATTTTGTCTATACAGTATTGCAACTTCTGTGGTATGATACCACAGGTTTTTCATCATACAGAGGTGGCAGATGTGCTTACAATAGCATACTCTGTTTAATATTTCTGTACACATATTTTGTACTTTTTTTGCACATAGGGTTTTGCAGAAATGTATCTATGAAATTATGTATTTCTGATTAATTGCCACAAGCTTTTAAATGATCTGACAATGAATGCATATTTATTTTCTCAGATCTATTTCATGTGTGGTAAATAAGAAAAAATGTTTAATATAATGTGTACAGTTTAAGGATTGTTCATCTAGAATATACATTTTCATTTGAGTGGTGGTGCAATACTTTCCAAAGTAGAGGCCGGTGTTCTGCTTTTTTTTAGACCTCACTGTTTCATGCTTGACAAATAATTGGGATTTTGTGATGAATAATCAACTTTTGAAGTGTATAAATCATAATGTGTATGGCATTGAATGCTTTCTGCTAATACAACTTAATATAATTCTATTTCCGCTAGTGTTGAAAAATTTAAGGTAAGATATAGTGACCATAATTTGTTTTTAAAGGTACTCTAGTGTGGCTAGCTCTACTTCAAAGCACTGATGTGCAACAAAACTGATGTTCAACAAAACTTTAAACTGGCTACTTCCTTGCTTCTGACAGTGCCTATACTACCTAAGGCAATGATTCCCAAGATACTTCCCAGATATTCTATTTTATTGGACTATAAATGGCCTGTTATCACTTGGTATTAAGGGTTATTGTTACTTCTGAAAAATGTGACATAATATTTTCCCCTTATTTTCTGAAGCGTGTTTTACTTTAGTTTGAAGAGGCTGATCTGCAGAAGACTAAAAGAATATGTAACTCTGCAAGCCAGACAAAGTCAACCAATACACTAAATATGTGACAGCCCCCTCTTTGTTCTTGAAGTACCTTGCAGTAAGCACATGTTTATGAAGTTTCTATGAACTGTTTGGCTTGGTGGATTACAAGTTATGCAGGTCTGAATTAAAGGTTAAATTCTACCAAATCCTAATTTAACGTCTAGATTGTATTTCCGATTTTTAAAAGTATTGCTGACAATTAGCATGCTTTGTATAGAAAAAGTCATACAGTTTTGATATCTTTAAATCCTAGAATATTGTATATAGTGTAAATTGTTCCATGTGAATATAGATGAGAACCCTTAAGGTGTTGCAGTTTATTTCTCAAAACTTTACATCCTAAATCACTTGAATGGCATAGCATATCAGTTTGCAATTCTGAGAATGTTGAATCAGTTGCAGTTTATTGATGGGAGAAAGTTAGAGCTGGCCACGAAAATGTAAAATTGTACCTTTTTTCTGTCAGTTATGATGGGGAGATGTGATGTTGGTTTTTATGGTAATTTCTTCATTTGAAATAACAATTGCATGCCACTAATCCTTTACCTATCTATTCATAAACAGTCTCTATTGCTTCAGTGATAATATGTGTAGTAGCCTGGCTTATACAGCTTGTGAATGCAGTCAATATGCGACCCTCAGTACTATAGATCAATCTTTCTCAGTCAAGGGACCTTTAGTGATGTGGTGACTGGTTATGGGATTTCCCAGCCAGAATGGTCACTGCTGGAAATTCTGGGATTTCAAATCAGTACATTTCAAGGGTGCTATGGTTGGAGAATCATATATAGAATTGAAACCTAGGTCACATACTGACTGGGTTTACAACTTGCACAAAGTCAGGATTTTTTTTTAATTAACATTGTTAACATTGTGTTATTGTATTTGATTTGCATTTAATACTAAGCCATAATGGATAGATTCATATTTCATGCTGAAACAAGCATGAAAGCAAACAAGTTATACTATGACATAATGCTTTGGTTCACATATAACACTGCTTTTAAAAATGTTTGAATTAAATCAGAGTGGGTCACACAACATGCAGAGTCCTCCAAGATTGTGATACTGCAGTTACAGCAATGCAGTTCACCCCATTTAAAAGGCTAAGCAATAAAACAGGTGTGTTACTAGAATAATGCACCTATTTTAGTACCACCTAAGAAAAAAGAGCCCCAAGGAGGGGTTTCTGCATGATCTTTAGTGATGATCACATACCGTATAGCCCTTGGAGATGGAAAAAAATAAATGTGACATTTGGTCATAAAAAAAGATTGACCATCTTTTAATTTAACTGGTTACAATGCTAAAACCAACAGTTTTAATAAAGCTGTGGATGTCAAGGCAAATCTCATGTTTCCTTATGGAATTAATTTGGATCAGGATGTATACACAGGGTATTTTCAGGAAATGATGTGGGAGGGGATCCACCATCATTCTAGCTCTGGGTCTTTTGGGGGTAGAATAGAGGTGTGAGGGAGACTCTCCCATGGTAAATATCTTTCTCCTGCCTTACTTTATTCTTTAATGGTAAATATTTAATTTTCTGACATAACTTGTAGTTTTTATTCTGAAGCAATCAAGTATTTTAGTTGTGATGAAGAAAAGATCTGAATCTAAATTTTTTTCAATAAAATCTTTAGAATTTTGTTAATCTATATCCACAGTAATTTGCAGTTGCTTTCATTGGTGTTAATGATGAAGGAAGCTGTTCAGTATTTGCTTACTTAAATATGTTTTCCAGTAATATACATACATGCCCATTATGCTATTTCTTTCATAAGCAGTTCAAATAGTTCAAGAAAAAATATAGAAAATATAGTTCAAGAAAATTATAGAAAAATATTAGGGCTTTAGCCTACTTAAATACATTTTCAGTGAGAAATATCAGTATGTATCATTATACCTGACTGATTGAACCATTGATAAATTTAAATATAAGTAATCCATTTGAAATAAGCATACTTGGTAGGTAACTGTGTGCATCATTATTCCTCATTTGTGAGAGAAGGAAGAATGCCAACTACAGTTTGCATATGCACAGGTCTTAAGATAAATATAATACGTTGTTCAATTAGCCTGTGGTGCAGTACTGTTTTAGTTAGTGGGTTTTTTTAACATTGATTAGCGGAACAGATGCATCAGTTAAATCTTACAGATATATTACAAATCTTTGTAATATTTTTATGTAAAGATTTGCATGTGTTGAGCCTCTTGGTATAGAATAGAATCAAGACAGTTCTATTTTAAAGACTACTAACCCTTGGCTTGGCTAACTGTAGCTTATGGAATTTGTAGTCCAGAACATGGGGAATGGCCTTTCCTAATTTTGGCACTTTCCATATGTGCAGTTCAGCTCCCAGCAATGGCAATTTTGGCTGGGGAATTCTGGAAATTGAAGTCTATACTTCTGGAAGGTGTCCAAGTTGGAGAAGGCTGATTTGGAGTATTAGGTTGCTTATCCTGATCTAAACTTTGTTTCTTTTGCATTTTAAACAATTTTGTTATATTCTTTAATACTTTTTTCAAGAAAAATCTGGGAAACCTAAATCTATATATATACATGCACACACACGTATTCACTCACTCAACTTGAGGTCGTGCTGTTGATGTTTAAATCTGCCAAAATCCATTGTACATTTTGCAGTTATCAATGAACTCAGTAGTTTTGGAGTGTGAAATAGTAGTTACGCACTAGTGGTTTCACAGATAAATGGCAGGAGTATCTTGTAATATCTCAGGTTTTAGATAAAGTGAGGTGATTGCGCTTTTTAAATAAGTGCTTTAAAATCATATGACACATACTTCCTATATATTTAGTAGCCATTTGCTGATTGATGAAGCATGGCAGGAAGGGTAGGGAACCAGGGAAACCACCAGTCAGGGACCAAGATAAATGTCCAGCTAACACCAGGCTGTCACTATAGCGAAAGTGAAAGAAAGGTTGAAATCTGGAAAGGGATTGTTTAAGCTGGTTTCATTTCTAGCTGGTTTAAACACAGGAGTCAAGCAGCTTAAGGCTCCAGTGTGAAAAGCCTAAGACAGATATAATTTGACAGAAGAAACAATGGAGTTAATTGTTTCAGATACAAAAATTGATTATGTATTTATAAGAGTCTAATTAATTGTTTAAAATGTATAATCCATATAGAATTTTGTTTATTTAAATTTTTGGCCAAGTTAAAAAAAAAAGGTAGAAGTCTA